GCTGTCAGAACCAGATTTGGGCAATTTGGTGACCAAGGTGCCCGAGCTGGCCCCCTACCTGTTGAGTTGTGATGCTCGAGTAAGTTTCCGGATGCCCTGGAGAAGTGCTGCTGCCCCGAGAGGAGGTATCAAAATTTGCCGGAAAGTCCTGGTACATTGTCCAAGGTGCAAGTGGAAGAGAAATAATAATGAAAAAATAATATTCTTTCTAGCTGTTGTTCCCTCTTGTTCCACCTTCCTGTCTTGGTTTCCAATCGTGATGCTTTAGGTTTCAAGCGCGCTCAGGTGGAGGCGGATGCAGCTGGCAATTTGGATTTTGATTCTATTTTAAAGCCTGATTTCTCTCTCTCTCTCTCTCTTGAAACAGGACCGTGGGATTAAAAAAGAAAAGATTCACCCCAAACCTACCACGTATAAGAATGCAAAATTCACTGCTTGTAGAGCCAAATCATTGAGTCTCTTAAGAACGTCAGCATAACTGTGAACAGTCTTTAAAAAAAGAGAGACTTTCCAAACGCGTCTTTATTTCTAAAGAAAATTGGACGTGTCTTGTTTCCCCTTCTTTCCCCTTTGCCTGCCTACTGGTATCCAAGTCTTAATCTCTCTGTAGTTTTAAGGAGGATCGTTGCCTCCTGTATAATTAAGCCCTTCAGAAAAGTGCCGTCTTCCTGCTCGAACTGGACTGGATGACTCAGCCCGGGATTTGAGGCTCTTTTTATTTATTTATTGTTGAAAAATTTGACTGAATTATCGATCTAGCTCTTGATTTTGCTCTCCTCGGCCACGAAGGCGAACTCTTCTGTCCCCCTGCTTACACGTAACCTCCCCCTCCTTTCTCTTTCCCTTGAGCAAGCGCCTCTCTAGCTTGGTATCCTTGTTCTCTGAGCTCCTTTACTCTCCCTGGATGAGTCAGTGCGATGGCATTAGTTCAAATCCCGAGCCTCATTGCATCTCCTCTTCTTAAGATCTGTACCATGTGGACTTCCAAGCGTCAAGCTTGCAGCTTGGCCACGCCCCACTCGCAACGCGGAGCCTCCCACCGGTAGGGGGAGGAGGAGGAGGAGGAGACAGGAGGAAGGCAAAAATCGGTCGGCTCATTAAACCCGACCCAGTTTACTGAATGCAGACGATCGGAAGGCGGATAGGCGGGCAATTCAGGCAGACGGTCTGACGCCCACTCGCCAGGCCGCCCGACCGGACAGTCCGTTGCCTGGTCCGGAATGGTTTTTCCTCTCTCCCCCCCCCTCCCCACGTCTCGGTTTAGTCTGTTCCATTGTCGCAGGTCGCGGTTGCCAAAGATGGTCATTTGCGTGGTACTACGTGAGCGCGGGTTTCCTTGGTTAGAATGACGCGCTCGGAGAGGGATTCCCTGCTCGCCCGCCACAGATCAAATCTCAATTAAGTGGTGAATCTTAATAGAAAAGGCGGGAGAGAACGGATTCAAAGAAGCCTCTCCTGATTCCCCCCCCCCCCCCGGTTCTTTCTCGGGCGGGGAGCAGGCCGTCCTGCGCGGGAGCGAAGGCAGAAAACTCGAGGGCGACTCGGAAGCAGGACAGGCAGGGAAGAAGAGGGTGGGGGGAGAGAGTTGCGTTTCGGAGGCTGCGAGGTTTACTCAAATATTGAATTTATTTTTTAAAAAAATATTTTTATTAAACAATTTTCCTCATAACACCATTTTCATTCTTTGCAATGTTGAATTTAGATGAGATGTTAAAATATGGTGGGGGGGAGGGGGTTCCAGTAAATATAGTAGCTAACGGAAAAATTCCGAAAAGGTGACGGGATTCGAGAAAAGAAACCTGGGCCAGAACCCAGGTAGCGTTGCTGGAGCTTCAACACCGCCTAGAATCCCACTGACATCCTCGCGTTATCATTGATCTTGTGGTATAAACTTAATAGCCGAGGCTTCTTGAGGTGCGACCATCGGCTCTCACAGTTAATTTCCTCAGCTCGCCTGCTCTAAATACAACCCGGAGTCCTAGAACCTGGACTCTACAGTCTGGAGCGGCTCCTTGTCCAGACTTGATTCATTTCTATACTACACGCGTATCGCTACTGTCAGCTCCTCAGGAGTTATGGGGGGAAAAACGGCTGACGGCCTCTTTTCGTTCGTCTGAAAGATAAAAAGCTCCACAGAAGAGTCTGCGCCCGCGTTATTGTTACGCAGAGCAATTCTTTTCCCCCCGCCTGTTGAACCCAGGGAACCCAGGATGCCCGAGTAAAAGGCGTTGGGAACCGCGCTCTTTGAAGACTCCGGCACGTAGACTCCACGAAGCCCCGAATTGGCTCTTGTTTCGAAGTTAAGAGGCGCAGCATCGACTTGGAATTTGCACAGAAGAATAAAATTGCATCAGCGAGAAGAACATCTGGGGAACGCTTTGTACCGAACGGGGAAACGACCGGCGCCCGCCTTTGCAAGCCCTTCGGCGAGGGAAGCTACAGGATTTGTTCGTAGCCGCCGCCAAGCGGCGCAAGTCATTTAAGGAGAAGGAAAGCCGGGCCGGAGCTTCGAGACTACCCATATTCCTATGATCCTGGCCGATGGCCTACCATATAAACAAGTTGCAAGGAGGGGAGGGGAGCGAGGGGGACTCTATGTTCCCTTCGGCTCCGGTCGGGCGCTTGGCCCGGACCAACCTCGTCTGGAGCCGGACCAGAAAGCCTCCCCTTCTTCGCTGCAAAGAGCCACTCCTCTTCCAGTAAAGGGCCGGCTAGCCTGTGTAGGCGGAGCGGCGCTGCTGCGTCTGATTTGTGCTGCTTTACACGCACCGATGGAGTTACTCGGGTCGGTTGCCTTCCAGTAAAGTGACGTGGCTGCTGGTTAGTCCCCAGAGATCAAGGAGTTTCTGCGGAATTTGGGCGGCCCTTGATGCAACCTTTGCAACGCCGCGAAGGAGAAAGCGAAGCCGTGACGCCTCCGAGACGGGAGGCAGCGGGCCGGAAACGTAACGGGGGCAAAGATCTGCCCAGCCCAGACCGGAGTTGCGGGAAAAGGAGGGAGGGGGCGGCGGAAGATGGAATTTCCCGCTGAGAATTACGTCTGCCCGGACGTTTGGTTTGGTTTTTTTTTTTCTTTTTCGAAAAAGCAGCTCTCCAGGAAATTAGGTGCGCACGGCTCCCCTCCCCTTTGCCTATATGGAAACTTAGGTTTTGCATGAGAAAAAAACTCCGCATCAGCGGTTCAAATTAATTGAAAAAGGGGAGGAAGAGGGAATCGCGGACAAGACACACCGAGGGATCCCGAAGTGCCTGCAAAGCAATGCTTTTGTTGTAAAAAGACTTGGCAAAATAACCGGCAATTGAAATCCTACCCAAAAGTGCCTCGCGCATCGCCTTAAAAAATACAGAGTTATTCTTTCGGGTTTGAAGGCTGATTTGCCCGATTAGGCTTTCAGATGCCATAAATTATATGTTCGGAAACGATGTGGCTCCTGCTGATAAGTCACATAAACTGCATTTAGGCCCCTTGCTCCCCAACGTTTGCTAGGTCGCTGCTGAACATCTTGGAAACGGCATAAAGAGCAAGAAATATTCAAAACAAATACGCTTTATGTTTTGAGTTTTCAAAGGGACATGTCCTTCCTTTCATTTTTGCTTCACAGCTCCAAATTTGAATACACTTCTTGAGTCAGGAGCATGACATCAATACATGAGGTTGCAGTGCTTATCATTCCAGCAGTGTAAAATATTATACAAACGTGTGTCTTCTTGAGGTGTTGGGAATACAATTCCCAGAATACCTAAGCAACTTTCTCCAAACTTGCTGTACAACAGAAGCAACTTCAGGTAGTCTTTGACTTAGAACAGTTCATATAGTGATGGTTTAAAGTTATAACAGATTGAAAAAAAGGTACTTATGACAATTTTTCACACTTACAACAGCTGCAGCATCCCATGGTCATGTGATTTACATTCAGATGCTTGACTCATAATATTTATGATGATGCAATGTCCAGGGGTCATGTCATCACCTTTTGCAACCTGACAAGCAAAGTCAGTGGGGAAGACAGATTCACTTAACAATTGTGGCAAGAAAAGTTGTAAAATGGGGCAAAACTCACTTAACAAATTTCTCACTTAGCAACATAAATTCTGGGTTCAATTGTCATAAGTCGAGCACTACCTGTACTGAGTAGATGTTCAGATTGAAGATTTCAATTATAAGTCCCCCAAGTTTCGATTCCACCAATAGCTATTTCCTGGATACCTCTGTGTGGCTAATGTAGATGAGAGGTTATACTGACAGCATCATCATAAATCACAGCTTGATATGTATTTACAATTCTGTGATATAATTGCAAGAGGGACTTAAAAACAAGACTATGGGAACTATAGTCAGAGAGTATGAAGTCTACATGACTAATATGCCTGTAATAATTACCAGTCATTTCATAGTGCTTTTGGCTGATAAATTTTATCAATCGTCTCAGTGTATTGTAGTATAGAAAGCTGAGATAAAACAATTAAGACAACGGCTCAATGAAGCAATGCGTAGAAACCTGTAAGCCATATCAATTACAGTAGTTCCTGATACGGCTATGATTCATTGTTTACATACTGAAGTTCTCAAGAGTTTTATTCCTGTCATCTCTGGGTAGATCTAGAAAAGGCTCCTGTTAAACCCCAGGAAAACTGTTGCCAGACACTGAATAGTAAGGTCAGGCAGAGCTGGGGCTGGTGAGTTATATTTAATGTGTTTTCATTATTAAAAACACAAACCCTTACATCATTCCTTTGGACTTTTGAACTTGGGGATTTGTCCCGATTGCCATAATTGAGCACAAAAGTCCATTCCTGATTACCGGAAACATTCACAAAAAACAAAGTCTTTCTTGTTCAGTGGCTACTAAGCAAGATTGCTATTGATTGATTTCAGTTTCTGGGACAAAATGCCCCTGGAGAGAAATTGTGGGGGCTGGCAAATATTTGGCCCATGTGCAATCAGAATGCAGAACTAGATAGAATTTGGTCTGATACAGTAGATCTCATTTTGTAAACTTGCCTTTCTTCATTTCAGTAACCTGATAGGGGTCAGGTGCAATACTTTATTTTTAAACTGAAGTATGAAAACCTTATCTCAAGTTGCTCAGAGACTTACCATTCTAATGATTAGCTTAATGCCAGGCTCATAATAAGGCATGAATCTCTTGGGCCTTACAATCATTTGGAAGTTTTATTCATCTCTCATCTCAATGTGTTCATTGTGGTTAGCCCGGCCTTACAATGATTTATTTTAAATACAGTTAGGGTTAGGGTTAGTTAACCTCCAGGAGGACAAAATTCTCACCTGCGCTCACCTAGTGTGTGACTCTTGGATATAGTGGGCTCTTGGTCTTCCAAAAGTAATAACTCTAGGATCAAGAAGCACAAGTTGAGGGGCAGGAACTATACTCAGTCACCATAGTTTTGGGTGCAGAGTTCAGTTATGAAATTGGTGAGGAATTATTTGATATTTTCAAACTATGAATTTCTTCTCAAGAAGAATACGGATGTCATTCTTAAAAGCACTTGTGATGGGACAGAAGTCAGTAGAAGCCTCTCAAACTAAGAAGGGCTTTACAAGAACGGGCAGTTCACTGCCTGTGAATTTTGGGAGTTGTATCTAGAAGGCTTCAACTGGATAAGATTAACTTAGAGGAACACGTAGTGCTTGTTATATCCTTTATGATTCTCTTTGGTTATCTTGTTTTCCAGTGTGGGTCCTTGCTAATTTTCTGTCTGTTAATAAGCTATTGCTGTTTGTATTTTTTCTTATATTGTAAGCCAGCTAGAGAGAGGCAGCTGTAGGCTGATTTGATTAAATCAGGGCTGTCAAACTCGCGGCCCGCAGGCCAAATGTGTCACACGCTGGACACTCCCATGCCCAGTTTAGCGAAGGGGAGGAAAAGTCATGATACGTCACGTGACAACACCGTGATGATGCAAGTTTGACCCCCTGGGTTAAATAAA